AATGGTAATAAAATAATTTTATTTTTATAGATTGATCGACAAACTATGAATACTATTTACTTGTGATCACAAAGAAAAGATGGCGCGAATTTGATATTGGGAAAAGTATGTTGAAGATGTGGATGTGTTTTTGCAATGAGAAATCATTCGTTTGAAAGTGCGAAGAACAAAGAAAAAGTTGTTACTTTTTCTTTGAATAATTATATATTATTAAAGTATATAGAATAAAGTATATTGAATATTTACTCGAGGATTTGTTGAAAGTATGAATTGATATTTTATTCAGATTTATTATCTTTGTCATATTATATGCGTTTTTTGATTAAAATTTTTTATCTATCTTAATTTAATCAATAAATATTAACGAAAATAACAAATTAATTTAAAATATGAACAATCTCTGAGAGAATATTTTAATTATAAATAATTATTCGATATTCAGAGGCATAAATATAATAATGAAAAGATTAATTCTGTATACCGTGGTTAATTGATTCGTTGAGATTATAAAAACTTTCAAAATGATCATGGAAACCAAGATAAAAATTAAATTTTTTTGACAATTTCATGAATGCTCGTAAAATTATCCAATCAAATTCAATTTTAAAATACAACGAGAAATTCCTCGAAAGTCTCGCTCCAATTCATAAAACTTCATGAAATTCCTGCCACAGTTTTGTTTGCGTAACAGAAACGATCGTAAAGTACGTGGTAAAAATTTTCTAAAAATCACCGTTTTTCTTTACCTTCGTAAGAGTTCAAAAAAGTCAGAGTAATCGTTGAGAGTAATGGTAAATTGTAAAAATGAAATAAATTGTAAAAAAATTAACTAAATTTCGCAACAATCTCCACGAAATCGTATTGATACAAATCTATCCAAAATAAAATCTTTTCAAACGAATTTTCAAATTAAGATTAAGTAAGATTTAGATCTATTCAGGAAGTGAGGATCATGAAAATTCGTTCATAAGTAGATTCTTCTTACAACTATAAGTAAAAAGTTTGATGAAAATTTTTCAGATTATAAGAAATGTAAATATTTTACGGTTCAGTTTCGTGTAACGTTATGAAAGTATCTTATTAACCTGATTGCGAAAAAGGAAACGAAACTGGAATAATTGTAAAACGAGAATAGTTTCGTGTAGTGTCAATTTTCGAAACATTTGCAATTACTTTAATTCCATGAGCATATGTAAGGTAGTTTACGACAATTTTGAAACTGGAGATGGAGCGAGACAGCTCTATCTTCATCCCAGCGCCATCTCTATTCCCATCTCCCTTCATCCAACGGAAACTTAAATTGCTCACAACTTAATATAACCTAATAATCGACTCTCTGAAGATTTCACGAATATTTTAACAACTCCTGTACTTACTAAATTTTTTCGAGATCTTGGATTTTAAAAAATATATTTCAATTAATTTTTTCAATAATTTTTTTTAGAAATTAAATAAATAATTCTTACGTAAATCAGATACGAATGATATCGTGAAAAAGATGGTCGTGATTCGTTTATCAAATATTAATATCCTGTAAAAAGTCGATTATATAAATATTCCTAAAATCTGTTGAATTATCGTTGGTGCATCGAGTGATGAGAAACGATAAAATCACACGGCGTGGAGCGGAATTTATCGTCCGCCGCAGGACATATCGTTTTTCTCGCGTAGTATGTGCGTAATGCATGCACGTAACGCAATATCGCGAACGTGTAATTACCTGGACGGTACTCGTAACAACCGTGGATTCTCTCTAAAACTCTCTGACCTCCGCGATGCAACGCTCGTTTCGCCGATCCTATCCTTTTTTCCCGCGGCTATTACGCTTTGAACCACGATTTCGAAGCATTTTTGACGAATTTGTATTTTTGTGAAATATTTCGATCTTTCGAAAACAAAGACGATTGGTATCGTCGAGTCAAGGATTTTTAAGATTTAAGAATCATGAAGCAGTTTTGAAATTGATTGATATTTGCTTCAAAAATCAGAAATTTGTCTGTAACTCCTTTAAATCCAATTTTCTTTCTAATTTTGTACATGATTCATAAATTTTGATGTACTTCTTTTATCCTCATATATATATAAATCTATCCAAACATATTATACTTTATAAACATTTATACGTATATTTTTCCTATCCTCCAAAATGCTCGTATTATCTTTCTTTTAATATCAATCTCACGTTCGAGCAATCGATCTTTCCCCATTACGAATGAAACTCACTGCCGAAAAGAATCGCAATTCCAGATTTAGCATGCACGATGTTGTTTATCTCTGACCGATCAGATACATGGCTTCTAGGAGTCCATGTCTCGATCGTAATTAGGCCGTAAAAATTTCATCGAAAGAAAAACGTTACCAAACAGTCACGAGAATATTACGTAACCACAATGTTCCAATATTAAATACCTCTATTATTTGTTGCCACAAAACAAAAATCATTCTCCTCGATAAATAATAAAAAGAGATAAAATTACCTATTTTCTCTGTCTTTTAAAATCGATCTCACCAATTGCAATCGTAATTAAAACAAATATCCCTCCAATCAACATTGCCATGAACGAAAGGGTCAAATCTCCAATACCGATTTCCCACTCGATCCTCATCGATCATTCCCCAGCAACAATCTGCTCACAAAAGTTCCTCGCAAAGAAGCGAAAGAAACTGAATTCAGATCCCGTTCTGAAGAAACGAGAAAATAAAAAAAATAAAAAAAAAGAAAAGGAAAAAAAGAAATTCCACATTGATTCTGTAATACCAATCGCGACGTCTATCTATCTAATCTGTTCCCATCCCATGAATTGCGAAGAAGAAATTCACACCGTGGCTCTCGTCCTTGGATCGTGAGCGGCACATCGTTAATTGGAAATCGAAGTTTACGAGCGGAGATAAAACTCGATATGTACGAACGAAGACAGCCTCGTTTCTGGCATAGATCTCTCGTCACAATGGCGCAAGCGGAGGAGAGGAGTAGGAAGAGGCGCGAATATTTCAAACGATGGATGGAGGGAGATAGAGACCAGGATGAGTGGTAAGTTCTTGTCTGATTTGCTCGCTTTTATTGCTTGGTTAACTCGAAATTAAATGATTAATTGTTGATTTGTCGATATGATGAAAGGGATATAAGGGGTCAAGATTTTGCTAACATTTGAATGAAAAAAAAAATATATGTTCGTACATAATTTTGTGCACATACAATTAATCAGTGAGTGATAAACAATGTAACGTCGTATTTTAAATAGATCTTCGGGAATATTAAGTAACAGAATGGTTAATTCTATTTACCTTGATATAAGGGATGTTCCTATATTTTTCCACTTTGGAAAATGGATTTTGTAAACATAAAAGTATAAAAAATCAACGTTTATCGAGGCTCTTGTTTATTAAATTATGAGCAATTGAAGTTTTCGATGATGAAGCGAGAGAGAGATAGAGCGAGATAGTTGCATCTCGACCGCAGCGCCATCTCTATCTCCGTCTCGCTCTAACTAACGTAAACTTAAATCGCTCGTACGTAACTTGACAAATAAACCTGAAAATTAACATTTTCATATATCAAATTTTCGTGTATATTCATATATTTTATAAATCTTCCAAAGATATTCCATATTAATGAATTAATACCCTGTATAAATAATAACGACACATATAATTTATTATTAAAAATCCAGACTTTGTTCGAGAGGAAGATTTATTTAAAAAAGTTTGTAATATAATTTAGATCGCGGATAAATAAAATATCTATTTAAATAGATTATTTCTTTATATAAAAGTTTTTATTTCTATCTAATATCTCGGTATAAATTGGACAAGAACTTATTACTTGTACTGGTGGAGAACAGGATTCACGGTTGTGAACACGAAAGGACAATGAGCATCGCGACTTTGAACACTGAGGGAACAGCGCCGATTAACCGATCGTTAATTATTCATTGTTTAAAACGATACGACCAGGGAAATCCAATCGTTCAAAGGTCAAAGGCAGTTTCCAGTTTGAAAAAAATCACTATTTGACAACCGAGCTCGTTCCTTTCTTTTTCCTTTTTTCGTCTTTCCTTTCATAATTATATCTCTGATCGATCGAGATGAGAAAGAATCGATGTATGCTTCGTCCAAAATCAATTTCGTACTAAAAAAAGAGTCAAGAAGAAATGATTTTCAACGAGCTCGAATCATCCAATTCTTTCGTAAATCGAAACGAGAAACCTATTAAAATTGAGCAAATTTGATCCAAATTTGATAAAAACTTCGCTAAACGTTTTCCAAAATGGACGGAATAAAAAAATTGAACGTTGTTATATTAATAAAATATAATAAAAAATAAAAAGAAAGAAAGAAAAAAAACGGCGCGGTTCTTTACATCGTGGAATCTCACAGGCAGTATTCGAACGACCCGCCAAATTGGCGGAGTATGGTGGAAAAAATAAAAAGAATAGGCGACAGAGGGAGCCAGAGACTCGACGGAATCTAGCTGAAAGGGAAATTTCCATAGGATCCGAAGGAGGTTCGTGCATAACGATTCGGCTCTAAGACTGTGTATCGAAGGTTAAATTCTTCGCAAAATCGTGCGTTTGAACGGTCTCGCTTTCACTCTCTTACGAATAACAGACGGCGTGACACGCGATCGCCTGTGAACCAGGCTCGATCGTGGCCCTCGCGCGTTGAGTATGTATCTAAATCACAGCTCGTGCTACTAATTACTTCTAAACATTATATATCTCTCTCTCTGATTACTTACCGATTCTACGTTACCTCCTCTAGTCTAATGTGTGTCTCTATGTGTGCGTGTGTATGTGTATGTATGTGTATGACTGTATACGTATGTAAAGTAAAAAAAGAGGAGAGAGAAAGAGAGAGAGAGAGAGAGAGAGAGAGAGAGAAAGAAAAATATAACAAAGATAGAAAAGGCGAGAAAAAGAAGAAGAAGAAGAAGAAGAAGAAGAAGAAGAGGGAGAAGAAGAAGAAAAAGAAGAAGAAGGAATGAGAAATGGAAAGAGCAAGAAGATGAAGAAGAATCTTCTTTGTAAAAATATCATCAACGTTAATATCTCGTAGCGGTATTAAATATCGATCAATTGTGCGCTATCATCGTCGACGTGGTCCCTCGTTTTGAAACAGCAATAAGTCGTCTTAGGAACAACAATTTCACCGAGTTCTCGTATCGCGAACTGAATCGTATCGTGCATCCACTGTCGATCGACGATTCGACTATACCTCGTCCGAAATCAATTGATCAATTTGAAGGCAATTCGTTAGAACTTACCCCATTCGTTTCATTCTTTTATCTCTCCTTCTCTTCCATTTTTACTTTCTCACTGTTTATTATTTATTTCTTTTTTTTTTTCCTTTATCAATCGTTCAAATCATTATTATACTTTTCTTCGAACGGCCTCGACCAATTGACATCGAACGAGAAATAATTAATCACGAGAATAAAAAAATAAATGGCGATCTCTGCTCGCCTCCTTAACCTATAATATCATCGTGAACTTATCGACGGAACTTATCGATCGATCGTAACGTAATATCGATTTAATTCACTCACGAGCATCGCCAATTCAAGTTCCCGACCACGACATACACACGGGTCGTTAATATTTGCATCACAATCATAGAATAATAATATTACGGGAACTTAGACTGGCGATAGGAACAACAGCCATACAAAGGTCATCAGAAGCTCCTCCTTGCACTCCCATGGATAAATTCACGATAAACCGCGATCCGATCGCGATTCTACGGACGGTTTTCCGCGATTGATAAATCGCTGTTACGCGCAAGACAAGGGTACGATCGGGAACGCCCAGAAAAGAAAGCGTCCGAAGGAATGTTCTACAGTGTGGCTCGTTAAATTCTTCGTGGGATCTCTGCGGCTACCAGCGGTTACCAGCTCGCGCTTTCTCGCATAACTCGTGAGCACCGCTGCGTGCAACTCGTCCCAGACAGCACACGACGTCTAAAAGTTGTCTATTATGGAGTTAGTTTTTAAACCAACAACGTCTTAAAGATGCCTGGTGCAAATTTTTTACTTATTTTTTACTTATTTTTTATTTAAACGATGTTTCACGAATAATTATTTTTATACGATAAACAATTGTTGGTGATTGTGTTATATAACACAACACGATTCGAACTATAAAGGAAATATGAGATATATACGAGTAATTCTAAAGCGTGAGAATCAATTATGTATAAATGTTTTGATAATGGAAGATGTTACTGATGATAATTTATCACAGATAAACTTGCGATTCTCTTAATTGATCTTTTATTATTATTAATTCGAAGGAGAATATTTTGACTTTTAATTTTTAAATTCTAATTTCTTTTCTTTATAAATTTTACCAGACGCTCTTTAAGACGCTCATAAACCGTCTCTGTGCTATCCGACATAAAACATGCAATTCAAATAAATATCCGAATCGACGAGAGAACGATCCTAATATTATCCTCCTAAGATGAGATAATTTCCAAAAAAAAAAAAAGAAAAAATTAATACTAATCGACACTTTAATAGATCTCACGATGCTCGACGCTAGTCATGGTTAGCTCTTTGCCGGGATCCTGAAACTTCTTCAGTCGTCGTAAATCATCCCGAATTCTCGAACCGAACGAAGATTCTGATCGATGGACGGAAAATATGAAAAGAAAAAGAAGAAGAAAAAAAAACGGAGAGAGAAAACTTACGAAGAGACAAGCGAGAACAGAGAACAGAAATAGATACATAAAGTGATAAAGAAGAGAGGAAAAAAAAAAAAAAAAAGAAAAAAGGAAGACTCGCACGGTGTATCCTTTCGTTGACCATCACCATCGTGCAAAATCGCCGATCCACTTTCCGCACCGTGCCACCGGGAATTAGATTAAATGGAGTAGCAAGGATTAACTGCAATCCAATTGGACGTTGGGAACCGGAAGTAGGTTGTTTGGCCCATCCAACGCGACTAACTAGGTGGATTACAGGCGTTCCCCGCGGGATCGACCGACACCTGGTGTGATTGACTCCTGTTCGTCACGGTGCTCGTTGTCGTGCCGCTCGTCTCGCCAGATGGGCTTGGATTCCCGCTATTTCCGTTGTTACTGGCGCCACTGCCGCTCGCCTGTTGCTGAACACTGGGCTTCTGCGTCACGTGGGTCTGGTAATGTTTCGCCAAATGTGCCTTCTGCCGGAAACTCTTGCCGCACAGGGAACAGGCGAACGGTTTCTCGCCCGTGTGCGTTCTGATGTGAACGTTCACGCTGTACTTGTCCTTGAAACCTTTGCTACAGATGCTGCAATAATGCAACGAGCGCTCCTTCCGTTGAACGCTGCCCGGCGAGCCGCCCGAACCACCCTGTTGCTGCCCACTCGTGTTTCCACCTGTTTCAGAACCGCTGCTTCCATTGCTAGCAGCGTTCGCGTTGCTGCTGTTCCTGTTCGTGCGTCGACAGTACTTCTTCGGGGCTTTCGTCGTGACGACTCGCGACGGGGTTATTTGAAGTTGGTTGGCTGACTGCTGCTGCTCCACCTCCGTTCGAGGAGCCGCCTGTTGCTGGAGAACCTCCTGCTGAGCCGCTGTCACCACCGTAACCGTGCTCACTTGACCCAGATCCGCGGGCAGCGTGATCGTGCCGAGGCTACCACTGGTTGGGTCCAACGTGTACATAACCGTGGTCGTTGCAGACACGTTGCAAACCGGTTCCAGGCTGCAGTAAGACTCCACCACTTCGTTGGCTATGCTCTTTAGCTTCTCGTAATCGCCGGGACGATAGGTCGTCTGGTCCAGTTGGGAGAGTAACAAATCCTCGTCGGTGCACGTGTGCATGGATTCGTCCTGTTGCGTTTGCGGTTGCTGTTGTTGTTGCTGTTGCTGCTGTTGCTGCTGCTGCTGCTGCTGCTGTTGATCGGAGACTATCTGCAAACCTGCGTTGCTCGTAACAGGCATCGATATAGCGGAGCCTTGAGTGGTCGGTGACGAGGATGACACCACTTGGGTAGGGCCTGTGTACAGTTTGCCTTGAAGAGCGCTCCTGAGAAGGCTCTCGGCGGAATCGCCGGCACCGACCGCGACAGCGGCAGCGGCGGCGGCTGCAGCCTCCTGCAGATTTTGATCGGACAGCTTCCAATCGTTGTTGTTGTCGCCACCGGTACAATTGCCGCCGCTGGATGCCCCTCGGCCGCAGAGCTCCTTGCTCTCGACGAAGCCGCTGTCGTCGGTGGCGTACTGCGAGGAAGCAACGGAGAAACGGTCCGGGTGAAACCTGTCGTTCACCGTCCGCGAAACCTCTGTCACGGCATTGGATTGATCGTGTTCCTGCTCGGCGGAAGCTGGTTCCATGCTCAGTATAGCGTCCAGATCTAGGTTAGGTCTGAGCGACCATGAGTCGCTGGACGTGGGCGCTGGACTCTTGCAACAGTCCAACGCGTCCATCGAGTTTGCCTCGTTGTTCAACACGGTGAGAGTGTATATCGCCCCGTCGGTGTTCTGTCTGTCGTTCGCCGAGCATCCTCGACCCACCCCTTGGTGATGCTCGTTCGAGCCCTGGTGAACGTTCACGTTGTCGTTTCCGTGGCTCTGCGCATTCGCGTGAGCCGACCAACAGTATTTGTTCAGATCTTCCAGGAGTATGTTACAGGTTTGCTCCTTGCTCTCGTCCGTGCCCCAATAGTCGCAGTCGGATTGGTCCATCGGTGTCTGTTCGTTGCTCTGTTGAACGTTGCAAGCGCTGTGATGCGTCCTCACGTGGTGGTGATGATGATGGTGGCTGAGGGAGCCGGTGATAGTCGAGACAGGTGGTAAAGCTGTCAGTGTGTTGTTGTTGGTCTCTTTGATGAATGGGGAGCCGTGGAGTTCCCGACTGGTCTCGTGCTCCTCGTGACCTTGTTGAAGGTAGCCGATGCTCCTGCAGGTGGTGCGATGGAGGAAGCTTTCTTCGTCCGACACGCCATCTGCGGAGGCGCAGTGGGGAGGTGGAGAGACGACGAAGTCGAAGAAATCGGTCTTTGGCAGCTCCTCTCCACCCCCTCCCGGGGCGAATGCCTCGGTTAGATCCATGGGGTAGGTTTGGTGCTTCGTCCTGGTGATCGGTTGCGACGCTTCCTTTCGATATCGATGGTCTTGCGCGGCTGGCAGTATTCGTTTTAAGGCGGCCAAGGGGTGGGTTTCAGTGGTGGTGGATAATTTGTCTCCTCACCCACGGCATCCTTGAGTTCGGGCTTCGACCTGAAAAAAAAATTGGATTCTTGGTAAGTAACTGTTCTTAAAATTTTTAACATCCTGATATTTTATCCTTCTTAAACGAAAGAGAAAGAAGGAAGAAAGAGGAAGAAAGACTCGATGAGATGAAATGGGGAGAGAAAAGAAAAGGAAATAAAGTGACAATTATATAGAGAGTGAAATTTCACTTTCTTTTTATGATAGAGCGTTTGTAATAACATGATTATTATATAGTTTACTATACTTCAGTTTATCTTATTTCAATTTTCTAATGTTATTTTTTTCTACCAAATAAAAATTTTTAACAGAATTATAGATATTTTAATCTCGACTGTCTTCAACCATTCGAAACACATTCGCAATACGAAATGTAATCTTCATCAGATTCATCCAAAATGTTACATTATAAAAATTTGTGTCACGGTTGCAAACAAATATAATGGGCAAAAAAAGAAAAAAAAAGAAAAATTGAGAGAAATACCGAGAGTTCTACGAAGCATTCTAGAAAACAAGATTCTAAGAAATTTGCATAAACATCCGTAAATGCAAACGGAAAGGGAAACAAAACCAAGTAGCTCGATCGCCGAGCAAGGTTGCAAAAAACCGGAGGGCGACCAATGGAACTGGCTTAACCTAACCAAGATATCGAAACCTATAGAATCGCGGGACAATGGCGCATACCGCGACGCCGTGTCCCAGATTTTCCACCAGTTTTCTTAGGATCGGTACCATGCGGGCATTAGGCCGAAGAGCCAGGTCTCTCTCGCGTGTGCTAGGCGTGGGAACGCACCGTAGCCGTGTATAAATCCAGCTAGCCGTTGGTACACCGATCAGCCGCCACGTATAACACAGGAGACAGAGGGATCGAGACGGAGAAGGAGAAAGTTAACCGGCCGAGTAGAGATAGAACGAGGATGGAGAAATGGAGAGGTAGACAGAATGGCAGAGAAGGGAAGAATGTGGAGATCGGAGGCTTTGTTGCATGGACACTGTGTACATAAGGAGAGGCTGAATTAGTTTATGTAGTTTAATTTCTATAGAGTAATTTAGAAGTGATAATTGTAATGAAGAAGTAATGAAGAATGAATAGTGAAGAAGTGATAATTTTTTTTTGAAAATTTAAGAATTGGATTGTTATGTATCTTTTTGAAAGAAGTACATCTTTCTTATTGCAATTGCTGTCGCGATTTCTATGATCGTTTACCGCCTACGATCTATGAAAGTGAAAACATAACCTCAATCTGTGTTTTATAAATGAAATATTCGTATTATTTCTAGTTGATTTAAAGCAATTGAATAATGTAATATACGAATTTTAACGTCGTTAATGATCCACGAATAGGTATGTACGTTGATTTTAAGAAAATATATAATAATAAGAAAATATTTTTCTATGAACAATAGAACGATATTCCTATTGTCAGAAAATTTCCCATTGGAATTAAATTAAATTAAATATAAAATTTCTTTCATGGAATAATATTAAAATATCTCTCTCCATTAAAATAACCTCACTTTTTATTCCTTCAGAATTTATTCATTTCTCAAAGTTTCTCATTCCACTTTGAATTATTATATTCGTCCTTTTTGTTTGTCATTTCAAAGAAAAAATGAATGATAAATCCAAACTTGGAAACAGATATTCGCAACCTAGTTAAGCTAAGATCAGCCTGTACAGGCGCAGCGCTCGTGGTACGAGGCATAAACAGCATAGGGTTGCGCAATTTCTTTTCCGTGAGCTATCCTACCGCAACGCACCGTTCCAAATTAATGCGGCAACAGTGCAGACGCGAGTCGCGCGCGGCTAAATGCCAGCCACAGTGTATAACAATTGATCGAGACCCGTTCGCCACCCGGATGTCCGAGGACGGTCGATCCACGTTGCGAAACCGAGGCCTGGAATCGCATACGCGATACATCAGATCCGACAGATCCGATGGAAAAAGTCTGCATCTTCGAATTATGGATTACCTTCGAATTATGAATATTTAATTAATCGAAATTGAAGTGATTTCTAATTTAGAAATTGTGATATGGATCGTCGAAAATTCAGGTTTATAATTTATAGGTTGCGATAGTTTTATTATTTTTCAAATCGAATTGCGAATATTTTTATGGAAAATTTAATTGGGGTAAATTATTTTTAATAATTGTTTATTCGAATATAGTTATATATAGAATATGTGATTTATAGTTAAGAAAATTGACGAAAATTTATAGGTTGTTTGAGCGTTGTATAAATTTTGAAGAGTTTAAAAGAAGATTTAAATTATAGGATTCTATGGGTTTAAAAATGTAGGGAAGAAATTCGAAAACTCTTCGTTTCATCGATTCACTTTCGTTCAAAATTACCACGGCCAATTTTATCCCGTTACTATAGATGGCGAAAGTAGATCTTTATCTATGGTCACGCACGCGGGTAAGCACTTACTTCATAGCATTAGCACAACAATTGGTTGATTCTGAAATAAATCGATAACCGAACATCGATTTAGCTATACTTTCTCTGTCTGCTTTCTTTTCTGATAAAAATTATCATTAAAAATGAATCGTTACTATCATTAATCCTCACGAATATTTGTAACGATTAATCCTGTCAGGAATTGGCAATACTTTTTTCATTTTTTGTCTGTACGAAACACGATGTATCATTTTGATTAATGTGCTACGGTTTCCTTGGTAATGATAAGTTAGACGAAAGATGAAGGCGAAGAGTTTTGGAGAAGAGTTTTGATTCTGAAATTTAAAGTTGAAATTTGTCCAAAGTTTCCACATTTTTAACTTCGAAGAATCGAAGCATTATCTATTAATATATTTTGGATAATAGACAATAGAAAATAAAAGAAAATTATAATTATGATATTGAAATGAAATTTATAGTCGTATGGAAGATAGTATGAGAACATTTTTTTTAAAAATTATTAAATAATGATAAATTAAAATATAGGCGATTTACTGCTAATCATATTCCTCGTACGTGTGAAATAATTAATATTAACTTGATGAATATTATTATGTTATTATTCCAGTGAAATATTTTACGATTGTTTTCATAAATGTTCACCATATAACGTAATCGATAAATAGAAAACTCTAATAGGACGTGTATTATAAGATTCTTCATAGCATTCTTCGACTTCCTGAACACTTTATTATTAAAAGTTTTGCGAGATTGCATCAGATATAAAAACCTCGTCCAGTGAAATGCCAGAGAATAATTCAAGGATCCTTGTCCATCACTCAAATTTTTTACTCATCTTGGAAATGTGAAATTATAATTAAAATCCTCAACTCATTATATACTAACTAATGAAATGTTACATAATTGTTGTGTAATGTAATTGAAAAAAAAAAAAAACAAAAATCAAACAAAATAATTTACATGTGCAATCAATATCATAAAGATATACATAAAACAGAAAGAAATTTCCATGATTTGAAAAAATATAATTTAATTTATAATTATCAACGAATATTATCTTGTTAAAATATAAATATCCATTGACAATTACAAAATCATAATGGAAACACAATGTTACTAAATAAAATTCAATATTTATGATTCATTTAAACAAAAATTACATTAATGAGATGTAATTACGTTACGAAATATTGACCATTGAATTAATGAAAATACAAATTTCTTTTCCACAAATGCAACGATCATGTGCTGACAAAATGATGAAAAAACCTATAAAATGCAATCGAACAATTTATTTATAACAATATTTCAATTGAATCGAATTTTATTTATAATTATTGTTACAAATTCAACGTAATAAGCTCGATCATTTGTATTATCGATAATCTATTATCGAGGAACGTGTATAATCGTCAAAGTGTCTCCATTAATTTGTACCCGAGGAATGTCGGCATAATGATCATCATATTGCACGATCAAACTCTCACTGTCTTTCACATACTTATTATCACTGTGCATTTATTACACAACATTATTTTTGTATTTCATCTAATATACGCAGTGGCATCAATCTTGCTCTTTACTACAATGTAATTAAAATTCCATCGCCGCGCAAGGTGAGGCAATGGCGATGATTGAAAACGCGCTAATAACCAAAAACGAAAAATATAACAAGGCTCGTGGAGTTGATTTTGTTGGATCGGTATGGAGAATTGGAAAATTTGAACGGGGAATGATGATAATTCACGGGCGGCATTTGATTGGATATTTATCATCCTGGATGGGATAAATTTGTTTGGAGATTTAGAGATTTAAATCGGGACATGGTTGGAACTAATTTAAAGAAGATGAATCAAGTGAATTGGAATGAATAAGATTTTAAATTTTCACTTTGTAATTTGTTTTTTATTAAAAATCGATAAATACGTTTGGAAATTGTTATTTTGAGATTTAAATCGTTATGAAAATCCATCTATACCTTGTATTACTTCTCGATTAAAAAACCATTATTTAATATTCACACAACTCTAATTATCTCCATTTCGTTACCTCCAATTCACTACCAAATCCGCAATTGACAAACCGCTTCATAAGAGCGAATGAAAAAGAAATTATAAAATTATATACACTTAGTCAAAAAACAGGAAGTCCAATCCACCATCGAAGAGCAAGAAAAGCGAAAACAGGTGTCGCTGGTCCCGCAAAAAGACCGCGAATTCACGGAACGAACGATACTTATCGTTTCTGGTTACTCGATTTCGTCGTAGTTTGTTTCTCTGCGCTGGTGCAAGGCTCAGTTTCTTTTTCTTCTTCTTCTTCTTTTCTTTTTCTCTCCTTCCTTCATCGTTGCAAGAGGTTAGGTTCGCGATTTGATCAGGCCAGGCACGCCTCGGGCCGATCACACGAAATGGTCGTTGCTGTTGAAACTTTAGGGTCCATTTCGATGATTTTCTATCGATCTAGAAAACTAGATCAAGTTGCGCAAAATTACGTCTGTAGAAAAAACGAGTCTTCGAAAGTGTTCGTCGCGCGCGCTCTTTCATCGCTTCGGGGACGGTGAATCGAGAAAAA